TGAGAAACACTGCAGCTAAGGATCCCCAAACTCTTCAGCTTATCAGCACATGAAATTTCAGATTGTTTATTGACCCCCAAACATTTATATGAAAATGATTTAATAAATACTACCTGAATAGTACTATTAATAACAATAAGTAATATCCATATGAATTGCTAACTCTCCTCCTCGTTCAGGCTATATTCACATGGTGCACCAGAAAAATAGGTTTTGATTCTAATTTTTGCAAATCCAGAGAGTTGGGAGTTTTGAAGTAAACTAAAGCTCAAACCATTTTCCCACTGTGACCTATGTTGGCACAAATTAGTACCATTATCACAAGCCATTGGATGTCCAAATTGCCAGTCTTGCCTTGTATTTCTTGGGACTTCTGACAAAATCTCTTGCTGATTGGATATAATGCTTGTCCATCAATCATTACAATAATACTATTTGGTTTTCTTAGGTGTATTACTAAAGATACTTCGTGCTAGATACTATGCCATATTGCAAAATCAAATTACAAAATATCCACAGCTGCACCCACTGCAAAAAAAAAAATTTCTTTCGAGGTTGTGGTGAAACCGTTCTATTAAATTGCTGCATTAAGAATGCAATGAAACTTGAATCCATATATAGTTCAAGAGCTGCATATAAAAGAATGAATATGGATGTTCATGGAGTATTTCATTTTTGCAGCAGTACTGGGGCAGGGTACATTGAAAATACTCAAAGTTTAATGTGAATAATTTAAATGTATTTAAATGTAAATAGAAAGTAAGTAGCATTCATAATGTAGTTTACATATATGGGATTGTAAAATGATCCCTTATATATTTACAGGTAAGTTACTGGAAGTTTTACAAAAGTGGGTTTGGTTTGAAGCCCTTTCAAATTGTTATGCTAGGTTGCTTAAAATAGTGACCTGGATTACAAATAATGGCTTATTTGATTTTTATTTAGCATATTGTCAGCTGAGTCATTAAGCTTTATAAATTGTGGTTTCCGACTTTCATCAATGTAAATACATGTGGCTTATTGTGTAAACTAGGTTAATGGGAACTAGATCACTAAATTGGAGTTTTGTTCTATGTATCTGATGCATTGGATTTTGATAATATGCCATATTTATTAATTTTTAAGATGCAGTCCTTCGCACAACCACACTTAACTGGGATTATGCTAAATTGACAAGCAGGAGATTATAAAATACCTTGCATTTAATGCAAAAAACCAGTAAGGCTACCATTCACAATTTTCAATTTAATTCATCAGAATAATGTTAACATTCAAAATATTTCTTTGAATTGTTTCTATAAAGAGCTTAAGCATTTCATAAAATGCTAATATAAAACTTACATTAATAACTAAAAAGACGGTATGTTTGTTCCCCTTAACCATACACAGCTGCTATTGGATTTTTGGCTGTTTCCAGTGTCATCACTATGTCTGCCCCTTTTTTCTTGGGGAAAGTTATTGATGTCGTTTACACAAATCCAACCAGTGAACTTGCAGAGAACCTATCTACACTCTGTGCCTTATTATCTGGAATATTTATGCTTGGTGCCGCTGCCAATGGAATACGTGTCTACCTCATGCAGATTTCAGGTAATTGGATGTAAAAATAAATAGTTTAGTGAGTTATATAAGCCAGTGATAAATAAGATATTCAAAATACAGAGCCAGATACAGAGCGAGTTTCCTGCCAATGAATGGACAGGCTGCTCCTTTTATCAGAACAAGGGTGAGCCATTTGTAACCTGCCATCCACACATGACCTGAATTTTTTTTCCAATCATAGAAATTATGCTATTGAAACCAAAAGAAATTACAGCATAATTTCTATGGAACAACCAGAAAAAAACAAGAACAAACTGAAAGTGCTTCTCAGTTTGAAATGTTTTTTCTGCCACAAAATCATGTCCCATAAATTGTTACCAAGATGCACAAAACAATTTTTGTTTTGTTTTTTAACCAAAATTTCTTTTTGATCCAGCATTTCATATATGCATACAGCTCTCTCTCACTCTTCCTGCCTTTCTGTACAACACATTTGAACTGTGGCATCCTTGGTGTTCTCTGAGCTTGGTTGTTTTCTTGCGGACATTTTGTTACCAAACTAGCATTGATGATGTTACCTAGTTTGGTAATGAAATATCTACAAAAAAACCACCAAGCTCAGAAAGCACCAAGGACCTTCATTTCTTTCTTGATGCTGATAAATATAACACATTTCTTTTTTGATGCTGATAAATAGGATCTAGTAACAGTATACAAGTAGTCCTTGACTTACAACAGTTCATTTAGTGACCATTCAAAGTTACAACAGCACTGAAAAAAGAGACCGTTTTTCAGTGACAACCTTTGCAGCAGCCCTATGATCATGTGATCAAAATTCAGATGCTTGGCAACCAGTTCATACTTATGACCGTTGAAGCATCCCAGGGTCATGTGATCACTTTTTGCAACCTTCTGACAAGCATAGTCAATGGGGAAGCCAGATTCACTTAACAATCAGGTTACTAACATATCAACTGCAGTGATTCACTTAACAACTGTGACAAAAAATGTAAAATGGGGCAAAACTCACAAATTCTCACTTAAATTTTGGGCTCAGTTGTCGTAAGTCAGGACTACCTATAATAGCTAGTTTTATTGATTGTGAGCTTATAACTGAGCGTAATACGGACATAAAATTATAGTTGGAACATAATACATTACTAATAGTATGTGGTATATAATAACCATTTCAATATAGGTAATAGGTTAAAATTCGTTTAATTTTAAATCTGTTTCACAGGAGCCCATGAAAAAGAAGCATTTTTATTGCTTTTTAAACTTTGACAGATCTGATTCCAAACATAGGTCTGGTGACAATCTGTTCCATAGAACTGAAACTGATGAAGAAAATCTCTTCACCAAGAGGTGGCTGTTCTAATAGTAGTAGAGTCAAATGACCCTAGCTGGAGAATTGGTTAAACACAAATGGACGTGATCTATCAGCAGATCTTTGAAATAATTGGCTCTGTCCATATGCAGGCTCTTTGAATTGTGATTCCTAGGTTCCTCAAGGCTGGAGAAACCTGCAGCTAGTACTGTAGTCCTGAAATTCAGAATAAGCAACAGGAAGGGTGGAGGAATATGATGATGAGGGAAGAATGCAATAATCTTATCCACATTTGGTTTCAGACAGTTGGAGCACATACAATGTGAAATCCTGCTTAGGCAGTTGGAAAAAGATGCTCCCATAGTATCACCCACAGTTGGGACAGCTGAATAGATCTGAAGGACATCAGAGTATAAGCTTGGATTATTGCAAATAACTTTGGTGAATGCTCAGGCTAAGGTTTTTTAAAACATATTAAAATCCTGTCTATTAATTGCCATACTTCTTGACTGTTTTAGGGCAAAGAATTGTGAACCGTCTAAGAGCGACAATATTTTCTTCTCTTTTGAAACAAGAAGTAGGTTTTTTTGACAAAACCAGCACTGGAGAGCTGATTAATCGCTTGTCTTCAGACACAGCTCTCTTGGGCCGTTCAGTCACTGAAAACCTTTCGGATGGGTTAAGAGCTGCAGGACAGGCCTCAGCTGCTATCGGCATGATGGTATGTGTTCGCATTGTTCTCCTTCCATTTCTGCAGATCCTTTGGTATAACACTGTTTCCCCACCGCCATCATCCATCTTCATACCTTTACTGCAGGGGTCTTCAAACTTGGCCCTTTTATGACTTGTGGACTTCAACTCCCAGAATTCCTCAGCCAGCGTGCCTGGCTGAGGAATTCTGGGAGTTGAAGTCCACAAGTCATTAAAGGGCCAAGTTTGAAGACCCCCTACTTTACTGTGTTAGAATAGATAGGTGATAAATTAAATAACTAGGTCTGCACATTGCATTGAGGAGCTATTTTAACAATGCTTTGCTGAAAAATATCTAATCTACTGGTGTGTTGGTTAAGAGGTTGGATTTGGATCAGGGAAGACCCTGTTTTGAACTTACTACATGACTGTAGGCCAGTCTTTCTTTTTCAGTTGCATCTACCTTGCATGATATTCCTAGGGAATTAGGGAATGCATGTCTCATTCATACTATGAATTCACAGAAAAAAGAGACATAAATACCATAACTAAATATCACTAAGCCATAAACCATTATTTACCAGCTGTAATGACATTCTTCAACCAAAGACAACCTGGTTTAAGTGCATACCTTGAACTAGGTTTTTATATAATACAAATATTAGAACTATATCTAATTACATGTTAGGAAAGAGAAGGTAACTCAAAGGACAGAAGTTACTGCATTCAATTTATACTACAGATTAATAGTTTCCATAATAAAAAAAAAATACATACCATTGCAGCTTCCCATCAGTAGCACTATAATAAACAAAAATGTTACATTACATATAACTCCAAATGTCCTTTTTTTCCCCCTAAGGTTTTCCCACAAGTGATTTTTTTTTCAGATCAACCAATTAGTTGCAAGAAGAATTGACTGACTAGCTTGTCACCCAAGTTTGATGTTGTGAGCTGAGAGAGAGAGAGGGACTGGCCCAAAGTCATCCAGCCAGTTTTCATGCCTAAGGCAGGACTAGAACTCACAGTTCTTGGTTTTTAGCCTGGTACTTAACCACTCTGCTTTCCCTAAAGGTGCTTTATATATTTAGCAATAAAAAACTCTAAAGGGCTTTGCTTTATATGAATGATGGTAGAGAGAAAAGAGAAAAGCTAAAAAAAAATCATTGTATCATGTTAGTCTATCTTTTATTTTGAGTTGCATATTGTAGATTGGATGATAAAAGTGAATGGAACTGATGTTGATATCTGTATCCTACACAATAGTTGTTATTGCTCATAATAGTTATGGCATAACTTTAGATAAATAATTCAGCAATTATCAAACACAACTATTGAATTCAGTGACTAAGAAATGAAAACTTTAAAACAAAATGCAAAAAAAAATATTGAAATAGGCCAACTTTACCATGTGACCCGACTCAATTTTACGACCATTTTTATGACAGTTGTAAAGCAATTTCACTGTGGTTGTTAAGCAAATCATGTCATTAAGTGAACTACATGGTCATTAAGCAAATCCATTCTCCTGAATGGGTATTTTTGCTGCATACTTGGCAAAAAAAAACCTACCAGAAACTGACAAAAACGCTGCAAATTGTGGTTTGAAGGGTATGTGTGCAGCAGTCATAACTTCGAGGGCAGGTTGTAAGTAACTGTTTTTAAATCTGTTATAACTTCCAACAGTCTTTAAGTCAGAGGTCCCCAACCTTTTGAGCACCAGCGACCGGTTCCGTGGAGAGAGGTTTTTCTGTGGACCTGAGGGGGCATGGTTTCATGTGCTGCCTGCATCCCACGGATGGGGTTTGCTTGTTTACTCGGACCGGTTTCTGGTGCAGCCTGGTGCCAGTCCACGGACCGGTGGTTGGGGATCCCTGCTTTAAGTGACTGGTAGTTAAGGGAGGACTACCTATACAGATGACCCTTGCTTGCCAACCAATCATTGAGTGACCATTTGAACTTGTGACAATGCTAAATGGTATTTACAATTGATCCTCAGTCATGGCAGCTCCCCCTTAGTCATGTGATCACAATCTGGGCATTTGGCACCGGGCTCACAATTACAACATTTCATTGTCATAGGGTCATTACTTGCAACCTTCTTTGCTGACTTCCTATAGGCAAAGTCCATGGGGAAGCTGGCAGGAGGTCACAAAAGGTGACATCCTCGCTTAACAACGGTGCGGGTTTGCTTAGCGACAGCATCTAGAACAGTGTTTCTCAACCTTGACAATTTTAAGGCATGTGGACTTCAACTCCCAGAATCCCACAGCCAATTGCCATTGTTAACAGAGGACTACCTGTATTTGAAATATTTGATTTATAAATCTAGCAAAGCCTCTGTAAACTGCATTTAAAAATTAATCACTGCTTTTTTTTTTTTTACTTCTAGTTTTTTGTGTCTCCCAAACTTGCTACATTCGTCCTGACTGTAGTACCATCTCTGGCTGTCATAGCTGTGATTTATGGAACGTATTTACGAAAACTGGCTAGAATGACACAAGATTCCCTTGCAGAAGCCACACAGGTAGGTTCTCGGTTGTTCCAATGAGAATGCTGAAAGATAGTGCTGAACTGCTCTGAGCTTTTCTCTTTTCATGCACATCCCCCAACAAATTCCCACTAGGTTCTGACTGAAGTCATTCCTGCGTAACCATCCTTGTAATTCTCCAATTTGAAGTACTCTTTTTCATACAATCACATCTCCAAAGTATCTTATAGCTCAAGATGCTTGAAGAATTTGTTCTTTGGGAATTCCAAGGTGAATTGACCGTATCTGATTAACATGATAATACAAATTAAGCTGCCCTTTTAAAAGGATTTTGCCTTTCTCTTTGTTTATAATGTGCTGCCAAACGTATTTAGAAATGCACACTCTTAGATAAAAGATGCTTTGAAAGTATGTTTTAATTGTGGCTGGTTTAAAAAGAAATAGCTCATTACGGAAACAGTTTTAATACAGGTTTGTGAATGGACATAAAAAAATTGACATTCTTCCCTAGCCTTGTAGGGTATTATAGGGTGATAAATGCATCTAGGCTATATAAATAGTGTAGCAGAAAAGATCCACTGTTAGTCTAATAAAATGTGTAGGGAGGGCAGTCCAGGAAGGCTTATGGGAAATCCCTTAATTTTTACATTTTGTTTACTGCAGTTAGCAGAAGAACGGATTGGAAATTTAAGAACAGTTCGAGCTTTTGGGCATGAGTTAACTGAAATGGAAAAATATGAGAACAAGATTCAGTATGTGCTACAATTGGCCAAAAAGGAAGCAATAGCTCGAGCAGGATTCTTTGGAGTAGTAAGTATATGAAGAAGGTGAGGAATCATCTGTGTTTTTCTGATGAATGTTTCCTTGAACAATTAAATTGTCATTTTGATATATCTGTAGTTGCATATTCTTTTATCATGACCACCAATAAACTAACGTACTAAATAGGTTTACAGAAATATTTATAAGTAACCGCTTATAAATATATTTTTATGAAGCTACTCCATTTTTAGGTAACAGCACTATTTATTTTATTGTTTTATTTATCACATTTTTGAAGCATCCATCTCCCTCAGTTATGCAGAGAGCAGGCAAAAGACAAGAAGTGGTAAGCCAAAAGAATCAAATGTTAAGAAAAAAATTACGCAGAAAAGTAAATAGAACTGAAATTAATTTACAATTAATTTACCGTTTTTCACTGTAGCGCTCCATAACTTTCTATCTTTGCAAAACATCTGCCTTCTACCACATCTGTATACCGCTTCAGATGTTGCCTTTTGTCCTCTAACCTCTCTCTTTTTAACCATAACTTTTTTAGTCTTCCCCTTCCTCCTAACCTATTTATTATTCCTCATGTTATTTTTCTTGAATCAACCAGCATTGTCTGTGCACAAATATATACATATGTTCATGCTCTTGACAAGCATACTTTTTCCATCACCACAGGCCTTCCTTATGTTTTGAGCTACCGATGTATTGAACAAGCAAAGAGACATCACAGCTGGATTCATGCCTAAAGTAGGACTAGAACTCACAGTCTCCCAGAGTCTTGTCTGGAGCCTTAACCATCACTTTTACTGCATTCCAACCTTCATCTCCATATTTACATAGCATTCCAGAACTTAAGCCTATTGAGTTTCTCATATATTTTCTCTAAAACAACAAATACAAAACAAATATTCTTTTTTACATGGCCTGGAAAGCAGAAAAAAGTCTCATCTGTATACCCCTTGCCTTGCATAAAGCCTCACAGTACTCCCCCAAATTGTCATTGTCATCTGTTGAACCTTTGAGTCAGAATCCTGCCACTTTCCCACCAAATTAATTGCCTTGTGGGTTTTTCCCTTTGTATAAAGGAACATTTTTTCCAAACATCGGGTACTGATTTAGTCTTCACAGAGAAATTAAAATGTTGCACAGCCCCTCTATGAGCAAACCGCATATTTTAACATTTATTCCATTACACCGTATATTCCTGCTATTTTAATCATCTTCAACTTTCTCATAGCATTTTTCATCATTTTTTTTCTTGGACAATAATACTGTTAGTTTCAGTTCCATCGCTCATTATACCATTGTCATTCTCAGTGCTTTTTTTGTAAAAAAAAAAAAAAAAAAAAAGGGTGCCGGAACTCACACAAGTCATACAACCCGCCTTGCCTACCCTACAAGGTTCCATCCCAAAAAAGTGCCGGAACTCCGTTCTGGGCGTTCTATGAGAAAAAAAAAAGCCCTGATCATTCTCATAAGAGATCTTTCAAATACTAGCATTTCCTCGTTTCAGTAACATCCCAGATCATTTTATCTATCACTCTGGTAGAGATTCTTTGTTTAGCCCTCTTCATCCACTTCTGAAATATCCATTAAAATTGCTGTGCGTTTTATTTGTCTTATTTAATGTTAATCACTCCTTGCTCTCTTTGCAACTATCTTTTTTTCTCTCTGTACACATTACAAAATGTGTTTCTCTCATCATTCTTTGCAGGAATTTTCCTATTTGCATTTTTCCTCATCCAGTTTCTTTTACCATCATTGTGCTAAGCATCCTTTTTCATATGCCACATTAATATACTCCATATATTTCTACTATACTTTTAAATTATTTCCAGATTGTTTTAAACAGCTTCTACACCCTCAGTTCTTATATGCACATTCCATTTATTCTCCTGTTTTATTCAAATTCTTTTTCATATAGTATTTCCATTTGTTCTTCCTGCAATCAGTCTACTTGAACTACTGTGCTGGGTTTTTTTTCTACCTCGTTCCTTCCATGTCCCTTATTTTCCCCCAAGATCTATTTTTGAGATTACCAAGAAATGGTCTTTCTCATATTCAATGTTCTTATCGCCCTTGAACCCTTCATTAAGTTTTAAAGGCAGTGAAATTTACCACCCAGGTGAGCACAGAAACACAAGACACACACAAGCAGTTCTTCCTGTTTTATTGTGAGATGCTGCATGTGTTTAGCTATGAATCTGAGGGTGATGGTGGGATGAAGCACTTCGTGACTAGCTAGCTAGTGATCATTAATTGGCTGATATTCTCTGGGCTGAGCTATTGGCCAGAAAGTTAAAAACACTGGTTGGCTGGTGCTTCTAGAATTCTGTAAGCTTACAACCATGTAAAATACACCTATGATGGTAGCCTTTAAAATCTGAGTAGAACTAAAAAATAATCAAAGCATTCCTAGGTGCATTTGAAACTGGATTCCGGATCAGATGTTGAAAATGGTAGCCATATAAAAGTGCCCCCAAATCTCTAAAATAATCTGTATTAAAGGATTGGTGTTTTTAATTATGGAATTATAAATACTAAGAGTATTTATAAGAGTACTATTACAATAGATTTCTTGATCTTCTTTTAGGCAAAGATCAGGGATTGCCTGTTCTTCCCTCTCTCGCAATATTCATCCATAAATCTAAAGAATTACATTAAATTCTGAAATCAGCACTTTTCCCTTTTCTTTCTTTACAGACGGGGTTATCGGGCAATTTGATTGTGCTTTTTGTTCTCTACAAAGGAGGATTACTGATGGGTGGTGCCCATTTGACTGTTGGTGAACTGTCTTCTTTCTTAATGTACGCTTTCTGGGTTGGCATAAGCATTAGAGGTAATATATTCTTAAAAATATTTTTTTTAAAAAAATAGATAGACAAGATGTCGGATCCGAAGGCCAAAAGATCAGCCTTCTCCAATTTCCCTTTCTGTAGATACATCAAGTACATTTCCCAAAATTGCTAGCTTGTCTGTCCTATGTTAACCTCTCTTTACAGAACAGCTCTTGTTGCACCAAACTAACTAAACAGTTCTTCAGAGGCTAAAGTGCTCAGGGATCAGCAAGAGCATTCATCCAACCCAATGTTTCTCAACCTTGGCAATTTTAAGATGTGTGGACTTCAACTCCCACAATTCCCCAGCTAGATGCTGGGGAATCTTAAAGTTATCACAGTTGAGAATGGTTAACAAATTCCAGCTCTGATGAATGTGAGAGATAATCTACTCAGAGACATTCTGCCAGCCATTTTATGGATCTTCTTTATTAAAAGGAAAAGGAAGCAGATAAATAGTGCTTACTTTCTCTGTTGCTAGGGGTGAAAATGAAGGGGGAAAAGCAGAACCCCTGCCTAATTTCTGTTCCTGCCTTAAACAACCTAATCTTAGGTTAGGCTTTATTTAGCTGTACTAGCTGGCTGTTTGAACACTGATTGGCACAGCTTATTTAACAAACATGCAATACCTGTTTTTGAACTTGTATAACAATAGGGGTACTTTTTCTTTCTTTCCTAGGATTAAGCTCTTTTTATACTGACTTAATGAAAGGTTTGGGAGCAGGAGGGCGTCTGTGGGAACTTATTGATCGAAAGCCACAACTACCTTTTAATGGTAATGTTCTTATATTTTGCAGTTGTTCAAGATGGTAAAATATCCATACATCATGCAATATACTGTAAAACAAAAACTAACTTTCTCATAAATTAGCAGTAATTCTAATAAAGAATGTAAGCAAATTACACATAAATGTAATGATTCCAAAGAATATTCATTTGATACAACAGAATACGTAAATTGGTTATGGTGCAGGCTTTGTGAGTACCAGCCTTTTAAACAGTTAACATTTCTGTAACTTCCACAAATTACTTTTCACATCTTATGACAGTTTAAAGTCCAAACTAAATTTCCCAAGATGAAAATAACTATAATGTCATTATGTTATTGGCTATAGCCTCAGCAGCCCTCTAAGGCTATTTTATTGTTATTGGAGGGTGGAGTGGGAACATACACACACACACACACACACACAGAGAGAGAGATACAAACACCACCTTCCAATAACTAGTCTGGCTGCAATAAAGCAGAATACAGAATGCAATAAAGCACCACACTTATGACAATTTGAATAGAAATTGAAGTGAAGTTAGCACTCTGATCAATAACATCATACATACCATAAAGAGATGATTTAAGACTTGATAATCCCTTGTCAGGAATAGGAGTGATTTCTATTCTAGCTGTGACATATAGGCTGTGCCATTCTGCCTTTTTTCATAAATCATGAACCTTTTGTTTCCTATTTTCCATCATGATCACTTTGTTGCTGTTATTAAAAACCTGATCTAGTTACAGGTAGTCCTCGACTTTCAACAGTTTATTTAGTGACCGTTCGAAGTTACAACAGCACTGAAAAAGTAATTTATGACTCTTTTTTACACTTAACATTGTTGCAGCATCCCCATTGTCATGTGATCAAAATTTAAACGCTTGGCAACTGACTCATATTTATGACAGGTGCAGTGTCCTGGAGTCATGTGACCACTTTTTGCGACCTTCTGACAGGCAAAGTCAATGGGGAAGCCAAATTCACTTAAAACGATGTCACTAACTTAACAACTGCAGTGATTCACTTAAAAACTGTGGCAAAAAAGATCATAAAATGGGGCAAAACTCACTTAAATGTCTCGCTTAGCAACAGAAATTTTGGGCCCAATTGCCATAAATCAAGGACTACCTGTATATTATCAATTCTGGGGTGAAGTAAGAATAAATGCCTTTGGATCCAATTTGACCATAACTGGCAGATCTTAGAAATGTTATGCTATGGGGCACCAGGAAAGGAGCTGTTTCATTTTCTGAATGTACCAATAGTTGGGATTCATGTTTTGTTCTATAAGCAGACAAGCCCAAATTGCTGGATGACTCATCTTTAAGAATGCCCAGATTCATGTACCTCTAGTTTACAGAATCTTAATCAAGTGTCATATTGACCATATTTGTTTTCTTTTAGTAATTTTTTAATGTAAATAGTTGGATTTGTGTTTACTAAAATGTGTTCAAATGATATGTTATTGATGTTACTTTCATTTTTGGATTGTTTGTCTATTTAGAGGGAACAGTATTAAGCCAGGATGCTTTCAGAGGTGCTCTTGAGTTTAAAAATGTCAAGTTTGCATATCCAACACGTCCAGAAACATTGATTTTTCAAGACTTTTCTCTCAGCATGCCTGCAGGCTCTGTCATGGCCCTAGTAGGCCCCAGTGGATCTGGCAAATCGACAGTTGTATCTCTTCTCCTGAGGCTTTATGATCCCCTCTCAGGTATTTATATGACTTTGTATGTATACCTTTCAACATCTGTTGCTGGGTATATTTCTGATTAGAGATCAAAACACAATTTGCTCATGGAAAAGTATGATCTTTGTAGAATCAGTTGGAAGACTATTTACAAGGGTGTTGAGATAAAATGCATCATTGTCATTTTATAACTTGAGCTTTTCCATTCCTGAAAAGGGAGTAATATATACAACAAATTCATATTTATGTTTCACTCATCTTGTATTTTTACAGTTAAGGTAATATTTCAGGCAATGTATATATAAATTGCCCATTCCTACACTTTTCTAAATTGATAGGATTTGACATGAATGTGCTAGAATCATAATTTCTTATATTAGAAACAGAAGTGTCTCTAGAAATCACTTATTCTATGCAAGGTGAAATCAGTTCTTGCCTAGAATATTTTTTTTAAAAAAAATTCTAATTTGATAGAGTGTCATTATGTATACTTTTACTCTCTTCATCCTCGTTGTCTAATATATTATCTAACATTCTCTTAATTTATTGAAGGAAGTATTACTGTTGATGGGGTTGATATCTGTCAGCTAAACCCACTATGGTTCAGGACTAATATCGGAACAGTAAGTCAGGTAAAAGAGAAGCAAAGTTTTCTTACAGTATTTGCTGATCCTAATTTCTTTAAAGATGTCAGGATATATTTTTTTTTGCCCCTCCACTTTTGAATTTGCCTCATGCCCCTTTAAAGCAATCATACTGATCACTGTTTATGACAAAAAGTGTTCCCTTTAATCTCTATGATCACATGTTACTTATTTCATTTATAATCTCATCTGGGCATATGTGTACCTGTGTTGCCATATTCCTTATGCTTTTTCATACATTAGGAACCCACTCTGTTCTCATGCTCTATTGCTGAAAACATAGCCTATGGTGCAGAGGACCCATCCACAGTAATTCCTGCAGAAATTGAGAGAGTTGCCAAAATTGCAAATGCTTTTAATTTTATCCAAAATTTTCCACAAGGATTCCATACCTTAGTTGGAGAAAAAGGTGTTCTTCTCTCTGGTAAGACTACATCATTTAGACATCTAATTTTTGTAATTCATGGCTGTTATAGAAGGAATTACATTTTCCTGTCTTAAAGTTGACAAGATTGAGAAACTTTGGTCTAGATACCTTTTCTTAGAACTGCATGTGCTTCATTGTACTGATTTCAATGTCATCTCTTGAACTTTATTAAAATACTTTAAATAATCTTGTTGTCAAATTGCAGTGCAGTAATTATTTTCTCCATTAAAAGTCCGATTTTCCATAGGTGAGAGAAAATAAAAAGTAAGCTATGAGTCATTTGTTTTGAATGGCAGAGTCCTTTAAAAAAAACCACCATAAATAATTATACATAAAATGCATACAATATTTTTTTTTTATTTTAGGTGGGCAGAAGCAGCGAATTGCAATTGCTCGAGCTCTTCTGAAGGTAAGCCTTTAAAAAGGTTTGATCAAGCTTTTACATAAAAGAAAAAGGCTTTGAAAAGATAAGTCTTTTCTAGCTTGATTTTCTTTTTCTTTCTTTCTTTCTTTCTTTCTTTCTTTCTTTCTTTCTTTCTTTCTTTTTCTTTTTCTTCTTTTTTCTTTTTCTTCTTTCTCTCTCTGCCTCCCTCCCTCCTCCCTTTCTTATATTTTGTGACAAAATAGTTCAGTAATTTGTTACTATTGCTTTAGAGCAGTGGTGGTGAACCTATGGCACACGTGCTAGAGGCGGCACTTGGAGCCCTCTCTGTGGGCACACGTGCCGTTGCCCCAGGCTCACCTCCCCCCATGACCCCCTCACCAGCAGCCCCCCTGGAGGAGAGTCGCCACTGAGTGTGGCCACGCGAAGCAGCGCAGCCAAGGACATGGCAGCCAGGCAGCGTAGACAAGACTGCCCTCACGCCCCATCACGCACAGTTGATGCTGCAGGGCGTGGGCAGAGGGTGTGGCCGCCATGGCGCTGCTGGGCTGCCTGGGCGATCTGCGGGCCCTGGAGGCGGTGAGTGGCCCTGCAGGCAGGCAGGGTGGGGAACGGGGTGGGGGCGGGGCGGGGGATGGAGCAGGGGCGGGGCCAGTTTTTGGGCACTCGGTGTCTAAAAGGTTCGCCATCACTGCTTTAGAGAAAACATCTCTTGATGTCTAGTAAAACCTCTAATAAAAGTGGTGTTCCTTTAAAAAAAACCTGCATAAAGTAAATTCTAATCTCAACATTTTTGTACTCATTTTGTTTTTAGAATCCCAAAATTCTTCTTCTTGATGAAGCAACAAGGTAAATGATAAAAATTAGGAAAATTATGGGTAGCTTGGACAATGTTGAAATTGTTCCTTGTTAAATTAATACCCAACTCCCACGCCCTTGAGGCTTTCTGGTATCTTTACTATTGAATTTGTGACAAAACATTGCTCATATTTTCCTCATTATGGAATATTCTTTTATAGCTTCCATTTTTTTCTCCCGTTATTCAGATACCTCTCTGTTTTTCAGCATCCTAGATACCAAAAGAAATGTAAACAACTTCATAAAGTTATTGTGCAGTAATTGGTATTTTGTGACCAGCCATGCCTTCTGGGGCAACCATTTTATTAATAGGAATCTGTCCCACAGCAGCTATTTTGTTCCATGTCAGAACATCCTGCCAGAATTTCAAATGTGCCTGCCTAAGCACACATAATGCTATTCCAGATGTCTTTTCCTGAATTTGAAGTTGTGCATACATATAATGCTTCTAGCCAACTCCATAGAAGGGGTTTGTAAGAGCGTGCTCTAATATGTTTGGATATTTGCAGGCCAGGCTGATGAACTACTTCATCTGACCCAAACCAAAGTATACAATTCTCAGGATAGATGTACATTGAACAGACTTTATAGCTGGATTTGTACAAGTATACAGACTTCCCTGCTTTCTGGAAGACTGCATATGTACTACAGGTAGTCCTCCACTTACAACCACAATTGAGCCCAAAATTTCCATTTGCTAAGCAACACAGTTTTACGTTTTGCCCCATTTTACGAACTTTCTTGCCACATCTGTTAAGTGAATCACTGCAGTTATTAAGTTAGTAACATGGTTGTTAAGTGAATCTGGCTTCCCCACTGACTTTATCAGAAGTGGCAAAACATAATCGCATTATCCTGGAACACTGCAGCTGTGATTAATACAAGCCAGTTGCCAAGCGTCCGAATTTTGGTCATGTGACCATTGGGACACTCTAATAGCGAAACATGGTCATAAGTCACTTTTTTCAGTGCCAATGTAACTTTGAACGCTCACTAAATAAATGATTGTAAGACGAGTAGTATCTGTACAGCACAGTATGCTAGTACAGAGGTCTCCAACCTTTTGGGCACCAGGGACCGATTCCGTGGAGAAAGGTTTTTCCATGAATCAGAGAGTGCGTGGTTTTGTGTGCTACCTGAATCTCACAGATGGCACTTTGCTTCTTTGTGCGGATTGGTTGTTGGCATGCCGTGGGCCGGTAGCGGTCCATGGACCGGGGGTTGGGGATCCCTGTTGCTAGCACAGTCATGATTCCCTAAGTCAGTGGTTCTCAATCTGTGGGTCGGGACCCCATTTGGGGTCGATCGACCATTTCACGGGGGTCGCCAAGCAAGGCTGTCCGCCATTTTTTTTGTCCGCTATTTTTTTTGTCCGCCATTTTTTTCCCCTTTTCCGGCGGGTGCCTTACCTCCCTTGGGCTGGGCCAGCTGGTGGTCGGCCTGCTCCGTCTCTGCCGCTTGCCAGCTACGCCTCGGCCGGCGCAGGGGGCGGAACCACGCATGTGCGGCACTCCCGGGCAGGGAAAGTCCTCGACTTACGACCGGTTGGGTAGTCCTCGACTTACGACCGGTTTAAGTCCTCGACTTACGACCGGTTTAGTCCTCGACTTACGACCGGTTTAATCCTCGACTTACGACCGGTTGGGGTCGCGGCATTAAAAAGGTTGAGAACCACTGCCCTAAGTCATTTCTATTTCATGAATCTATAATACTTCTTTACGCTCTAATGAGGTATTTAAATTGCAGATTAAAAAAGAGAATGTCTTAACTCAGTTTTGGGGACATCATCTGTGAAATATTGGGCTCTCTTTGTTCAAATCAAATCTCTCAAAAATTAAAATAATTGGTTTTGTTTAAAAATCCCGACACCATTAAATATTTTTTTAAAAATCCAAATTTTAAATGAAAATGAAATGAAAAAAAGTTATACAGGCAGTTATGCTCTAGTAAAGTCTCTGCATTTAGATTAATAATGGGAAGAATAACCTTTTTTTATTCAATTCATTAATTAGTGCTTTGGATGCTGAAAATGAGTATCTTGTCCAAGAAGCATTGGATCGACTGATGGAAGGCAGAACTGTTCTTATTATTGCACATCGACTCTCCACCATTCAGAATGCTAATTCTGTTGCAGTTCTGGACCAAGGCAGAATAGTTGAGTGTGGAAAGCATGAAACACTGCTTGCAAACCCAAATGGACTTTTCAGCAAATTAATGAAAAAACAGTCTTTTATCCAAAATATTGAACATTTTGCATCTAATTGAAAAATATCCTTTTTTAAAAAAGGAATGAAAAGGTATAACTAGGGAAGAAAAATGTAATATTTCCAAGAATTTAAATTATGTTTCAATAAATGTGTTGTATATATTTTTCAGTGTACTTCAGATATTTGCAAAAATTTATTATCTTAAGCTTTTTATTCAAAGCATTTAAGTAATTATATTGTGGTGCAATCCAAGAGTGTATTGTTTTTAAGATTCTACAGTTGCTATGTGATTAATGCAGGGATAGATATACTTTCCAGACCCAGGTGCCGTTGTATAACTTGGTTACCTCCTTCCCAAATCAAAGAAATTTAAGAAGTTTGACAAGTTTTTGTAAAGGATCTACATGGGAGTACAGTAAGTACCATACTGCTAATCCCTAGATTAATGGATATATCACGAGTGCTTGCAGAATTTAATTTTATGATTTGGCAGCCTACTTTGAATTTTCAGCTAGTTTATTTTCACCCCAAATATCTTTTCATACTTTGTCTTCCTATTAAATCATTATGATTTTCATAATTTTATCATTACTATGAAGACAAACTGGATTCACAAAAACAAAAACCCTCATGTTTTGGTCAACATTAAGGCAAAGAAGAATATTATTAGTCAAATACATTCTACCACATATCTGCTGTTAAAATATTTGATTTCTTTAGGTTCCTGACTGTGTATCAAGAAATAACTTATCCAGCATATTATGTTTTGCTGATGGTATCTTGATGTATGTTTGTCTTTTGTCTTTCAAACCACTCTATTCCATTTTCCCTTCCCCTTTTTAAAATGATTAGTATTTTGTAGCACAGAAAACATAAGACATGTTCTCTTTGAGGACTCTTCCCCTTTAAGGGAAAACAACAATACTTTAAAAATTAATTTTAATTACTGGCAAATTACTGGTCAGTCTGTTGCTATCTAGCCAATCTACTGATATATATAAATAGTTAGTTTACTCATACAGAACCCATACTGCTTCGCACCATATGCACAGATGGAGGGAAAGGATCATCAATATTATATTTTCAATAGTATTCAGCTAAACATGGGTAAGAAAGTGGGAAGTGATAGTATTACTTAACGTGCCACCAGTAACACACAATGAGTTGAACTTAGAATTCACTGAATGATCTAATAAATGTATAAAATGGAAGTATTGTAGATAAACCAAAGATATGATAAGTGTTCAAAGAATATTAACTGCAAGAAACGTATTCCCATAATTTCACTTTATATTCGGTTGATATGATGGTATACAGTACTGTCTTATATAATGACTTCTCTCTAAATTAACTTATCAAAGGTTGATTCCAAAATGTCATAGTTACATTTTCTAAGTAAGTTGAAGTCATGAATCATACTGAGAGAAGGGGAAAAAATGATGTAGCTCTAAATGCACATATACAATGGGTTGAAGTCAGATTAGATTAGAAATTAGAAAACTTATCTATTGGATGCCCAAAAGCTGTCCCCAAGTTTTTCCAAAAAAATTTCTGCAAGCAAACAACCAAGTTCAGACAGCACCAAGGACCCCATGAATATAATACTATTGATTAGAACAAAATGGAAATTTCACGGAACTTTCTTTCCATGACATTTCCATTGTTGGAATGTTGGTATATAAATGAAACTTTTCACAATTTTCACAAATTATGATGCTGATCATGATGATCAATTATTTTGAAGAAATTTGGTTATTTTCACATTAATTTCAAATATTGTAGAAAAACTCCTGGATTTTTTCTTCACTAACAGACTTCATTATCATTGGTTCCTCCAATTTAGTGACACATAAAGTTGAAATTGTAATGATTTATGTTCCATTCAAGTGGCCATAAGGGCTATAATTGGCATCATGCTTATGGCTCTGTAGTTTTTTTCTCAATTGTCTTAATGTTATTTAACTGATCAGAACAAAAATAGTTTTTTAGTCCTACAAAGAATCAGTTCTTTATCATTCTTAATTCCTGGTTCCCAGGGGATACACAGTGGGATAATGAAGTATTTAGTAATGCAGTCTAAAAGCAAGCTTATCTAATTTTGATATAAAGAACATTTTTGTACTCTTTGTTCCCTAGTTCTTGTCAGTAATATTTTGTATAACAATAAAATGTATTAATAAACTATATATGACATTTTTCCATTCTTATTTTTATCCTGTTTATCCTTAAGTTTTCTCATTATTAAAATGAGTAATAGTATACAGGGTACCAGTAGCACATTGATATGAAAAGTGCAGTACATGTAATGTCATCATGTAAACACAATGACATATGCATGTTGTGGCATATGTAGGCTTAACATTTTTCAAGAAAGACAGTGTTCCCTTGCACTTATTCTCTGGTCTATCTTCCCATTTTCCTGGGAATATCAATTTTTCTCCTCAAACTTTCCAATAACCTGTCTTTCTATTGGACCAGACCCGAAGCAGATCCGATTTGAAGATGTGCAAAAATAAAAAATAGATCATTTGGAGCAAAAGCATGTCTCTTAAATATACATATTCCATTGATGTAATTGATATTTTATTATGCTATACGTCAAGTTATGTCATGTTATTATACAACTGTTATTGAGACAGATAATATGAATTATATTGATTTTCCAATGTTTCAGAAATGGTGAGGGTTGTCCACTGTTTGGGAATGAAATCCAAAGTTCACTTTTGCCCTTTACATCCAAAGACTGTTGAATGATGATCAAGAAAACTGAGGTTTCAGAGTGCATGTACAAAACATTCCAATTGTTAATTAAGCATTCACACAGTTTATTAGACTCACATTCCCCCCATGAGCCTAACTAGCCATATGGGCTGGATTTGTACAATATACTTGGTCATAATATGTTGCTGTTCTTCATTTCCTAATTCTGTGGAGCATGTGGACATAGCCCCCCCCCCAAAAAAAGTGTGTGCATTACAGCAGAGGTCCCCAACCTTTTGGGCACCAGGGACCGGTGCCACGGAGAAAGGTTTTTCCGCGGACCAGAGGGGGTGTGGTTTTGCATACGGCCTGCATCCTGTGGATGGAACTTTGCTTGTTTGTGCGGACTGGTTGCTGGACCCTTGCAGTGCCCACTTCTGATGTAGTGAGGTTATTTGGTCTATTAAAAAATAATTTACAGAGCAGTTATCTTCCAGCCAAATTAATAAGGCAGTCAACAGGTTTCAGAGCACTCTTCAACTAAATGTTACATTAAACAATTAAGAGTTTACATCATGGTTGAAAACTCGCATTGTAGGCCATACCATAATTTTGGAAATGTTGAAAACATCTCCAGATTTTTTTTAAATGTTTGACTCACAATCTCAGCCCACACATTTTAAAATTATAATTTTGATTTACAAGTCAGTTTCTTGCAACTACACAGTGTAAACATGCTGTGCAAAAGTATCTGCAGGATTTAGATGCATCAAGCTATAAGCTCCACCCTCTTTATATGTGAACACAGGGAAAAGAGCTAGAGCTTGCAGCATGATGCTATTCTTGCCAATTATCTCCACAGACACCTCTTATATTGTGGAAACATTCTTTTCCTATCATAATCCCATAACTTTATTTTGGAGTAGCCTTTTTGGAGCTCAGGCACACCCCCTCCTTATAGTCCTTTAGGAAGTTACTGAAAAGTGACAGCATTTCCTTAATTTTATTTATTGCACATTTTAAGTTATTACAATTTTCTTTTAATTTTGTTATTTATATAGTTGTTTTATGTGAATGCTTTAACCGTCATTCTAGTATTCTTTGTAAGCTGCCAAGAGTCAATCGCAGTGGGATACAAGTCAAACCAATCAATAACTATGCCTTCATCTTGTTCTCAGGTCATGGGCAAGATTTAAGTTGTTTTCAGTTTAACTGCCACTTGTTCACTTGACAGCATTGAATAAGTAGTAGTTACAACTGGTCATCCTTCTCACCCACATAGCATTCCCCATCATGTGAATGTGATCCAGGTATCTGGCAACGAGCCTACATTTCCAACTATAGCAGCATCCCACAAGCACATAATTGTTATTTGCAACTTTTCCTGCCAATTTCCCACAAGCAGAGTCAATGGGGAAGCTATCAGGAAGTCAGAAGTTGTAATTATGCAGTCTATTAACCAGGGATTGCTGGAATTGCCATTGCTCACTGTCACATCATGCTTTACAACTGCATTGCTTAATTCTGGTCCCTATTACTATTGTTAACTATGGACTACCTGTAGTAAAGTAGCTTACTTATTCCAGCATTTATTTAAAAGCAGGAATCAAAGTCTTGGGCAACTGAAGGATGAATGACAAAATATTCTTCATGACACAAACTTCATCTCCCTTCAAACTTATGTCATGATGCTTGCATGCAGATACTTAAGGGGTGGAATTTACATCAGGAATATCAGGATAGATTTCATCATTTTGATATAAGATCCATTAGCTGTAGACTGCTGATGAAGTATTTAATGTCTCTTTGAACTTTTGTCTAGCTGGCAATCAGAAGACAGGGAGTGGCTGGGAAATGAAGAAATAAGGATCCAACCAGGACATAAGACTTTATGCCATTATCTACATCAGCAGCAACACACCTTTGGCTTTCCCAGACAACTGTCTGCGTGACTGTAGAAATGGATCAAATAAAAAAATACATACAGGTTGTCTCAATTTATGACCACAATGGAGCCCAAAATTCCTGTTGCTAAGTGTGACATTTGTTAAGTGAATTTTGCCCCATTTTATGACCTTTCTTGCTACAGTTGTTAAGTGAATCACTGCAGCTGTTACTTGCACAGTTAAGTGAATCTGGCTTCCTCCATTGACTTTGCTTGTCAGAAGTTCGCAAAAGGTGATCGCATGACCCTGGGAGACCCTGCAACCCTCAATAAATACGAGTCAGTTGCCAAGTATCTGGATTTTCATCCTGTGACCATGGGGATGCTGCAAGTTGTTAAGTGTGGAAAAAGGTCACAGCACTTTTTTCAGTGCTATTGTAAGTTTGAACAGTCACTAAATGAACTGTTGTAAACCGAGGACTATCTTATTGGGAGGGTCAAGTTGGGCTTCTCGCAATCGTCCGTGGGTCCAATGAAGAACCGAGGAAATACAGATAGATACATTATCATAACGCCAGGGAGAGCTCGTCACCTGGAAACTATACACACACACATACACAGAAAAAGAGAACTTCCCGCTTTTCTGGGTCGATTGGACCAAGCCAAGGAGGACGGAAAATCTTCAGCCAATCCCGCTCTTGGAGGAAATGTGACGTCATTTAAATGCGCCAGTTTTGCTTTACGAGAAAAGAGCAACGAGACTTGAAAGGGTTGGGTTTATATTTTTTTTTATAACGGCCCCTCGGTTTTCGTACCGAGGCGACAATGTTTCTTTCCACTCCCACCTCGCCTCACACTCCAGGCGGCGGCGGCGGTGGCTCGGGCCGAAGAAGCCTCCGCCCCGGAGGTAAGAAGAGCCAAATGCTGGTGACCCCGTCGGTTTCTTCCCCAGCCTTCTTCTCGCCAGCAACGAGGAGACACCTCGGTTCCCTCTCTACGCGGTGAGTACCCTGCCCCGCCCATCGGTGGGTGGAGCCTAACTACCTCCCCCCCCCCACGCGATTGATGCAAAGATTTGCAAAGGGCGTCTGGAGAGGAAGGCGGCGTGCTTGTTTTCAGGCACAACAAGTGCTGCTTTAATAGCAAAAGAGCAAATAATATGTATTGCGCTGTGTGTGTGTGTGGGGGGGGGGGGGTAATCGCAATTACTGGGGTCGTCCCAGTTGAGGCGGGAATACGAAGGCGTTTTGAAGGAAGTTCGCTCCCCTGAAAATTATGTATGGCCCCTTCAAATGCACTGCTGCTTTCAGAGGAAAGGAAGGATTGAAGATTTTTTTCTATGCTGCAATCTGTCATTCATGGGTTGGGTGGCACTCTTTAAGCTGCCACTCACGTAACCCCCCCAAAAAATATTAGTCGCATTTTTATTTCTCCAATGCTGGATACTCCTTGTCAAATGGTTAATAAAAATATACCTTGTATTTAAAAAGCACTGTAAAGAAAATGTACCCAAGAGAGGGGATAAGAGTTAAAGTTATTCTGTTGATCAGTTTTGATCATGTGAACAATTCTCATACTTGTATTTCTAGTCCATAGTGAAACATAACTTCTGTCAAGTTCTGATTTTCAAGCTTCTACAATGATACATTAACCAATTATTTAATATCATTAAATAAAGCATTCCGTATAAAGACCACTATTTTTATGTGCTAAAACCAAAATACTTTTTATTCCAGAATACTTTTGGTCCGGCTGACCCTTCTTTCAGATTTTCTCTATATTGAGTATACCTATGATTTTATTTATTTTCATTTTTAGTTTATTGTATGACAGCTTCTGAATGCAATAAATGTGTTGAAAAGCTAATAGATATTGTGTGTTTGTGTGTCCCGTTTCCTGTTCTACTGCATTGGTTAAAAAACATTTAAAGCCTTGAATTAGTATTCCCAGTTAGATCAGGACTAGATAAGCCCATGGTTTGACTTGATGTAAAACAATTTAAAAATTGTTTAATTTGAATTGGTGTTGAGCTTAGGCTCAGTGACATTGAAAATGATTCAGAAGTGAAATCTGTTTTGCACATTGCAAATTATAGTAGTGTTTGTTAGTGTTGAAATATGCTTAATTTTGCATTTAGGTTATTTTATTTAATAGAATATAGATAAAAAATTCTATAGTGAAAAACAAAGAGTAAATGCAAGTAAAAAAAAGTTATAATGATACTTTCTGACTTAACTTCCTTTCTTCCTACATAATCACTTATAAATTTTCCAACATTGCACTCATATTAACCTTGATCATTAAACATGCTGATTTTTCAACAATGAAGTGGGGAAGTATGCTTTGGCAGTAATCAAGCCAGTTACATTTTCAAATATATGTGACTCTTCCTTTATTTGTGATTAACAACACTCCCTGACTTTAAGCTTCGCCTGATCTTTCTTCTCAGCTTGATTATAAATATTTCAGTGTTTATCAACAGCTTGGGAATGTGAATAGACAAGAGTAGTACTCGGTTTCTAAGAGAAAAACAAGGAAAAACAAAGTCAAGTTTCTTTTGAAAAAGCACCGAAGAGAAATGTTTTTGT